ATCGAAGATCTAAATCTCATCCCCCCAGGTCGAGACTTATTTCCACGAATTCGGTCACGTGATGCACGAGCTGTGCTCCACGGCGAGATTCAGCCGTTTCGCTGGAACGAACGTTCAACGAGATTTCGTCGAAGCACCATCACAGATGCTGGAGAATTGGTGCTACGAGTCCGACGCCCTGCATGAGCTGTCCGCTCACTTCAAGACCGGAGAGGTGGAGACGTCGTGTACGGTCGGTTTTAAGGTTTAATTTTCTTCAGACGTTACCGGAAGAGCTGAGGACGAAATTGATCAAGGCGAAGAATGTATTGGAGGCCTTCAAGAACAGGAGACAGATCTTCTTTGGAATGTATGACATGACAGTACACTCTGCCAGCGGCCCTATAGACAGCGCCAGAGTGTGGCACGAGCTGATCGATAAGGTCACGTGACCTCCTCATCGTGATGAAACTGACGCGTTGTAGATCGCCCTCACCCCATCTCAGCCCGGTACGAACGGTGCCGCCGCATTCGGTCATATCGTTGGAGGCTACGAGGCGGGTTACTATGGTTACCTCTGGTCGAAAGGTGAGAAACATGTGATGGTCCGTCTCATCATCGTCTCATCACCTTCTCAGTCTACTCGTGCGACATGTTTGGAGAGTTCCAGCGGCAGGGAGTGCTCAACGAACAGCTGGGAAAGAGATACAGAGATATCATACTCAGCCGAGGTGGTACAGCAGACGCCATGATCTTACTGAAAGACTTTTTGGGAAGGGAACCCTCCAACGAGGCCTTCTTGAAAGAGATCGGTGAGACGATGTCGATGTGAATGACGTCACAACTAATCATGATGCAGGTGCCTGAGAAATTCAAAGGAACAGTATGATAAAGTGTAATCATGTCTTTCGTCTCATCATGTCTTCGCCCTCTCATCTTCGTCGAGTCTTCTCATGCCGTTCTCACGTCACCCGGCAACCCTTTCAGAAGACACCATTCTCTCCCCATTCCTCCATTTGAGTCACAGCGGACCCGCACGCCAAAGGGCCCTGGATTTCAATGGATGACGAAGGGGTCACACAGACTGCCACCACCGCCGAGAACACTCACGTAAGGAATTGATCGGCCTCAGCATACCGTCTATCATTTGTGTTTGTTCGGTGCAAATCTGTCTGCGCTGTATACCACGAAAGGTGCCGAAAATGCCAAAGGATGTCAGCTTAAAGATATAGCATCCTACGCATGCACTCAGTAAAACCCCGATAGTAGGAATACAGACTACTTGGCCTATGGAATTAATACGGGATGGCGTAAAAAGAGAGTCGGCTTGCAGTTGGAGGAGCATCAGGTGGAATTATCGGTGAATGATCGGTTTATAAGGGGAAGGCACCAATCAGACGGAACGATCGGAACATTTATAAAATAGACCACACAGAGACAGGGAGCAGCACAGACCACCAGAAAAATAATGAAAGTTTCGTCTCTGTTGTCCAACGAGGAAGAGAAGGCACCAACGAGTCCAACTAACAACTGTCGTGTCTTCTACTTTCAACAACCCAAAGAGAGTGAGTTCTATCTTGACCCCACCCAACATCTCTGATATATATACAGCCATAAATAAGCGCCACGCGTTCTCACAGAGCCAAGTGATGCAACTACAAGAAGCTTATAGAAGGTACCCGTATCCATCCCAGAGCGAGAAAGAAGAGCTGGCCCGTCGACTCAACACGAGTGTGCGTCGATTTATAGAGTCGTTCTTTATTCTGAAAAATGCAGGTACGGAGGATCCAAACATGGTTTCAGAATCGTCGAGCGAGGTACGTGGGTCGTTTCCATCTTCATTCACGATCAATATGACGTGAAATAGATATATGGTACAGATGCAAGAGTGCTGATGCTCGAACAGAACAGATAGGATAGAGTCGGTCATGTTCATGTAAATAAAGTATCAAGAGTGCGTTGCGTGGTTGATTTATTTTCGGTGTATTTTTGCTCTCTCTTATGGAGGATCTTTCAAGTGATCACCACCTTGTCATTCTACAATCACCTTTGCCATGCAGAAGTCACAGCACATATTCTAATTAACATGTCGTTCTCGTTCTCAGGTCGCAAAATACTGTGGAGTCTTATCAATCGATCGAGAGCGACACAGATGCATAGAACGATATTAATATACTGATAAAGAATAAAGTCAACGAGGAGGAAGTTTTCCTCTTATGTGTGATATTAATATACTCCAGTCAAAGTCATCAGATCACAAGTGTCTCTTCCTTCGAAAGCATTCATCTCCTTCTCTGCTTCACGAAACGCGGCTCGTGTGGCATTCAATTCTGCTGAACTACTCTTCCGTGGATTGACGCCAGAAATACAGCGAGAAACCACGAACGGTTTTCTCACTCTTTTACAAAAACATCGACGCAACAGCCATGGCATTCTTATGTCGATTTTCCAACATCGTAGCCGCGATCTCACTCCTCCTCTTATTCATTGGAATCTTTGTACCCTGGTTTGTGGTCAAGATTCATTATGAAGATGATACGGCTGCTTCGGTCTCCTTACACCTCACCACCACCACATGCGAGACTTTGGGTTCTCTGTCGTGCTGGATCGCACCTGTCGCACCCATCACGGTGCTTCGATTACTCATAAGCTCTGCTGCCCTCACGACGGCGGCTTTATTCTTAGGACTCCTCGATCTCGCAGGCGTGAGTCAAAGTCCATCACCTCAATCACCGATTCTGATTTTTTGAACAGTTGATTCCTCGGTACGTAAGAGTCGCACAGGCAGTTCACTTGACCCTCTTGGTTGTCGCATTCATCACTGAGATCGGTGAGATTCGTAAATCATACTCGATTCTCGAGCTGATCGTTGGACAGTTGCCATCGCTATCTTCCTGGCGTACCTCCCCTCTCTGCAAGATTACGCTTACAACTACTACGTGGCTCTCAGAGCTGATAAAGTGAAATGGTACCCAGCAGGTGAGAGGTAAAACCGTGCACCCACACTCAACGCTCGATCAGGTTTCGTCCTCGCTTTCCTTGCCATGATCGGTCTCATCATCGCCATCGTCTTCGCAGCACTCCACATCAAACAACATGGAGTTGCTCACCATTCTGATCACGAACACCATCACCATCACGACGAGAGACACCGCCACGAGCAGACTCAACCCCAAACGATTGCAGTCCCTCCCCCTCACACTTACCAAAGCCTTCAACACAATGAGACCACACCTTTGGTCGGTACTGCGTAAATAAATGCCTTCCATCGAGATTCGTCATCATCTTTGTCATAGGCACTGTCGCTTTGGAACGTGCAACCGTCCTGTTGCTTGGTACGAGCGAAGTCCAGCAGATGTATGGTGTGCTACTTATGTCTATTTGGATAGGACTGGAATGCTTCTGTGCAGACTCCCAAACGAAGGGAGTTGAGAATAAATGAACGCAATATTTCCTTTTTTATATAATCGCAGAAACATCCAAAGAACACACATCGCTCAGATGCGATCTCTCTATGTTTTCGCCCTATTGTCAATATTACTCGTCGTGAATATCAAGGGTGAGACAAGATGGAGGCCGGAAGATCCTGACGCGATATCAGGAGAATGTGGTGAATGCCCCAGAGGAACATCATCTATTAACAGAACGACAAACGGTGAATATATTCCATAGGATGATATCATCGCAACAGAGATTGGATATCAACATCTTCGGAGATTCAATCGTTCTTTCACTCTAGAGATTACGAGGTCATCATCAACCAACTGACATTCCTCAGCCACATGCGCCGGTGACTGTCCGATCGGCCAGTGCCCCACCAATGGAACGAGCGTCCAGTCTAATTGTACAGTCTGCGAGAGTGGCTTCTATGCAAATTCGACCGGCCAATCCAGGTGACGCTCCCTCCCGTCATCACATCTCCATTACGACACAGACTCATCCATATCAGTTGCACTCCATGTTACAAAGGATTCACGAGTGATCCCGGTCACCTCCTCTGTCTCCAATGCAAGGCAGGTCGTTATAACCCTATGTGAGCTCCACTTTTATTCTGTTTTATTTACCTCCACCAGCGAGGGAGGAGTGTGCCAACCTTGCTCTCCAGGAAGTTATTCCTCCACACAAGCTTCGTTCTTATGCAGAGCGTGCGATCCCGGCACCTACAACTCTGCCTTCGAGATGACATCTTGCGCTCCATGCGGCCAGGGTGAGAACTCTCTCTTGCTCTCTTCTTAACTCGAACAGGTTCTTACAGCTCCCAGACGGGTGCCACAGAGTCTACAACCTGCCAGGTGAATCGATTCGGTAGAGAATGCAACTCACAGTTGAACAGACGTGCCCCGACGGTTATTATTGTCCTTACGATGCCACGTCATCACCGCAACAGTGTCCAGAGAACACAAAGTGCTCGCAGGGAGCGGTACAGCCTACACCCTGTCCAAGATTTTCCGTCGCCGACGCAGGTTCTTCCGTGAGTTTTCATCGAGATCTACATGATAAATGCGCCACGAAACATACATCATTATCCAATAAGCTCTACATCGTCTCACACCTTCTTAACATACATCATATCGCATCTCATCATCATCTTTCATCACCCCTCACCTTCCGTAGTCTTGTCAGCCAACCACCCAATTGTACGTCTTGATCATCGTCATCGGTGCCGTCGTGGTTCTCGCGGTCTGCATCATTCTGTTCGTCAAGGCCAAGCGATTGAAGCAGCAGCCGGTCGATCTACCAAGAGGGACATCAGAAATCGATCGACTCATCATCCCTCCCTCGAAAGACGCTCCCGTGTACGCTGGTCTGTAGGTGAGAGATATTCGAAGAAGGAGAGAGTGACGAATGTAGGTGAACAGAATGAAGCTGACGGTGAGGGATGAATGGAGAAATGCTGTCCTATAAATATTATCGTCTCTGAGAATGATCTATCTGCGCCGAAAGACGAAAGATCAAGACACATCAGATGAAGTGGCAGCTATTAATTTGTTTACATATTGGAAATATAGGAGCAATCACAAGCCCGCCTAGCTCAGTCGGTAGAGCGCCAGGCTTTTACGAGATGTTGACACCTGGTGGTCGGGGGTTCGAGCCCCCCGGTGGGCGCTTCTTTTGTTCCGCCTTGGTTTGTCAGGCAGCCCGGCAATCACATCTTCACACCATCAGATACGACCGTGTCTTGGATCAACTACGTTACAGATTCATCTTTATTCCACAACAATTCATGCCCACAGAGCCCCATAACTTCCGGTCAAGCTCGTCTGATCACACATCAGCCTCGAATTATAATTCACTCACCATCAGAGGACCTCCCCCTACGAAAATCTTCGTCTTAGACGGGTTGTAGCTGTGCGTGTAAATCGCATTGTGAACTGTCGTGTCGTGAAAGTAGGAGAGGTAAGCTTCGTTCTTGTCTAACCACCCTCTACCCGAAGTGAAGTATTCTTTACCTTCATCATCCACGGGCATGAACCTTCCAGCTCTGATGTCGTAAAACGAAAGGTAGCCCTTTCGTAAGGTGAGAGCTAGAAAACGCAGACGGTCTCACCTTACCGCCGCCAATGGAGAGAACGTTGTCGACGAAAACGAGAGAGCGGACACCGAGTGATTCATCCTTTGAAGGAACAGAGACGAGGTGTCTGCTCCTGATGTCGATGAACGTGAAGTGTTCCAGCGATCCTATTTTGCGTCTCAATTGTAGAATGAGATGCAAAAGCACTCACCGACGGCGAGTAATCCAGCGTCAGGCTTGACGTCTATACACACTAGATCGGGTGCACGCGTCAGGAGGACCTCGGAGATCTGATGATGATGTCAGCGAGTTGATAGATGATGATGATGATCTCACAACGTCCATTCTGGAAGGGTCCCATATCTTGATCGTGCGATCGGCAGAGAGGGAGGAGAACGTACAGCTGACGCGATCGAAACAGATAGCTCTCACCTGAAACAAGTTGAGTTAAAATGTAAAACGGACGGATTTCACCTTCTTCGTGTGGTTCAATCTCGTGGCGATGCACTGCGACGATTCGGTTGCGTCTGCTGTGACGTTCCACATCTTAACCGTGCAATCTCTGCTGCCTGCACTTGTCAGAAGAGTACATCCGTCTGAGATGCCTCGTGGGATCTACCTGAGACGAAGTGATGCTGATCGATGAAGGCGGCACCGAACACCCAATCTTGATGGCCTCTCAGAATGTTGACGCAATCTAGAGAAGGGAGAGAATAGACGGCCAGTTCGGCTGTGAGGAATGAGATGATGGTTGATGTCTGACATCTTACTGGAGTCTTCGCCCGTGGAGAGGAGAAAAGTGCATTCTTCGTTTTGAGCCAAAAAGTGTGATCCGAAGCTGTGATCTCATCAGCGTGATGCGGAATGACGGATCAGCGGTACCTGTTCACGACGCCAGGATTGGACTTGGTCCTCGGGGGTACTGTGATGTGTCCAGATCTGCCTCCGTAAGTATCCCAGTAGATGAGCTGCGATCTGGTGAGCGAGTGTCTCTGCAGAGCAGCATTTCACCTTGCCGTCTTTAGTTGAGAACAGTACGTGGTCTTCAGATAACCAAATGGAGGCGAAGATCTGTGCTTCGATTAGAGTGAGAGTGAGGATGCAATGCGTATCACACCTTATCAAAGTGTCCAACAGTGCTGGGCACTGATTTGCGTTCACGTAGCACTTGGAGTAGAGCATGTCCTCTGAGTTGGGCCAATCTCCCCCTGGCTGCGATCAACACGTTTAAACTCGAATTTTACACGCACTGATACCAAGTAAGGTCGTGAAGAGGGAGGTAACCTTTCAAGAGGTTCATTTGGAATGTGATGAATGCGTATGTGATCGAGAGCGGAAATCCAATAGTAGGTTGGTCATCTTTGCGGGATTCTGCAGCAACTCCTCCAGACTGTAGGCTCGCTGCGTGGGAGGACCCTGGACCACTTTTTTTGGCTGGTTGTAAAACGGTAACCCAAATTTTTCGTCTCAATTTTGCAATGTCGCTCTTATAGATCGATCAGCGTCACATCTTTATGTCTTCTTCTGTTTGATAGTTTGCGTCGTGCTGACGCTCTCCTTCATCGTGAATTGCACGTAGTTGGCCCACAGGAAGAAGGCAGCGAAATGAAGGAAGGAAAAGGAGGTGAAGAGTAAAACGAATAGGTCAGGTAGTTTGGCTGGTGGTTTCATCGATGCAAATATGATGTGAATTGACATCATACCCAATAAAGACAAAAACTAAATGATTCAGGAGGTTTGTTCAAAGGAAGAGATGATTCTCTCACCTGAGCGATTCTCTTGAATTTTGAAGCATTCTGTTGTCTTCCTGCGAAAGCAATAGATAAGAAGAAGACGAAGAGAGAGAAATAAGGGATGCTCTGTCCATCTCTGATCAATAGAGGATACATGCTGTAACGTGTGAATCATCATGATGGTGATCGTGAAAGATGAAACGTTGCGATGAGATGTATAAATCTCACCTGAACATGCTGACCAGAGTCATCCAACAAAATTCCTCGAAACATTTTCCCGCCAAAAGCGTCATAGGCAACAGAGGGAATAAAATCGTCTTCTCATGCACCTACGCATCAATCATTTCAAGAATAAAATGAAATAAAATGTCACCTGAAACGAAAAGAGATAAAATGACATGGAGGAGACGAAAAGAGAGAAGACTAAGCGAACGTAACTCGGTCTCTTCAGTAAGTCAACACCAGACGGTAATAGTCCCAACAGAGTGAACGCGACACTATTAAATTGAGCTCCCGACGATACAAAGAGGGGCAGATGAACTCACGTGATCGGAAACAGGCGATTGGGGTCTACAATTCGCTTCAATTTGACGACGAGATCGATGGTGCACCAGAAATTGGCCACCTGATTCTCCATTAGTTTTCGATTTTCTACGGAATCTCTTCACCTTATCTTCGAACAACCCTCTGGCGACAGGAAAGAGTCTGTGGATGAGCTGATCGCGTTCGATGAGAACATGAAATTTCGTGTAAATCTCACCTGTCCCAAGCCTTCCAGGCCGTTGGCTGCGTAGAACGGTACCCACAGTGTCCCAAATGTCAGTATGACACCCGCTCCCAGGAAAAATATCCTCGAAAAGCTTCCCCTCCTGTCTCAAATGAATGGAAATAAAACCAAATAAAATCGTCACCAGCTCTTGAGGTGAAGTGCTTCCCCCAACATGTGGAAGAAGAATGGAAGAGCGAAATATAAGCTCATCTGTTTGAAATTGAGACTGAGAGAGAACATGATGGAGGCCAGAAAGTGTCGTCCACTCTGCAAGAATACGAGAGACCACAGAGATAGTCCCAGCGACACCGAATTGTATTGAAAGTGTCCGTGATCGATCAACATGAGAGCAGGTTGCATGAGAGCGACAAAGAGAGGAGAGAACCTCCTCACGTCTGTCGATGTCAGCGAAACCTCATGTGAATCACCTGTCAAGAGAGATGGATGGTCTCACTGTGTTCGAACGTGTTGGTGGTAGATGTCTTCGCGTTGGTATCTCTTAAAAATAAGATGACGAGTGGGAAGATATAAGATATCTGGGGTGTGTCAGTCTTTCATCTGTAATGTGGCGTCTCGACCATCTCGGACAGAAGCACACTCAATCTCATGTATAATTTGCTGCTGGACGTCTCATAGCCACGTGAGCTGTATAACGCCATAGATTCGGGTTCGACATGTCCTATTCTGTTCGATGGTGAATGGTGATTCTCAATCATCAAATGTGAGGAATTACATTTTACCACAGAGCCAACTGTGATAGGCAGTCAGCGGTGGGTAGTCTAATCCCCAATAATGGAGATCGTTCCTCGTCGTATTGTGATACCTGTTGATTTCTGTTCAGAATTGCGAGCAGGTCAGACGAACGAAGAGAAATCGGTTACCATTCGGAGAGGGGAATCGAATTGGTGATCTCCATCCAATGTCTCTGTGCTTCGTAATCTCCAAACATGGGTGGCTTGCCTGCTCCTAATGGGATCGTCAGCCACATGTTCGTGAGTCGATCTAGAGTCCATTCGTGGATATACATCGTAGTCTCACCACTATAAGGCCATAATGATATCGCATAACGAATCAACATGGAAGCAGACAAGATGAGCAGTAACCACGTTCCAGTCCCTCCCGCCATTTCTGTTGTCTTGACTTCATCGCATCACAGCACAGTTTTATTTCTTTGTGACACATTTTCCAAATATAGGTCTACTTTCACCATCAACATCATCACGTGGTCAGTGTTCTCGCTAACCTATCTGTATCATATCTACGAATCGAAACACTTATGATAGCATTATGAGCAGAGAGATCACGTCTGTCGGTTATAGTGGAACGACCATCCATTACATTGGAGATGATGTGGTATTGACTCCCTATGGCAACTCTCTCAGGTGTGTTGAACGAATCCACACCATTCGAGTCACGGATCGACAACGAGATGAGGTTGATGATATCATCAGAGTAATGTCCTTCAAGAGTGGGGTCGCAAAGACCATTCCAGGTTTAGGCAACGGAATCGGTCCGTTAACTTACAACAAGAAGACCAAGCTGTACGCTTACTCGGAGAGATCACCGACGTGTCACATCTATGTGTGCAGTAGTCTCACCCACACGTTGGCTTTTCACATTCTGAGTGGGTCATCCGTCGACACGCGAAAGATCGACTGACGCCATCGTTCAGGTGTGGGAGAGACAGAGATCAACGACTTGGCATTCTCTCGCGATGGTACTCGCATCACTGCCATCACTAGTATTCCAGATAGTCTCCTCGCTGTCTGGAGTTGTGAGACGCAGGCTCTCCTCTTTCGCACACGCATCAGCATCCCATTCTCCCTGTTCAATTCTGACTTTTGGCTTTCTTTCAATCCTAAGAGCAACAATCAGATCTGTGTCTCGGGTAATGGAAAGTTGATTTTCTTCAAGGTGAGAGGATTTAGACGTAAGATATCCGTACTGACTGTGCAAGGTCGATAATCTGAACGAGAACTTGACTGAGAACGAGGCTGACCTCTCTGTCATCAACACACAGAGGGCGAAGGAGACAGATAGAACGCACACGACGCAGAATGTCAACGATAAAAACACACACTTTCGATCTCAC